GATTAGTGGTGGAATAATTAAGCTGTTTAATTGCCTTGACCCAAATGGGTTTCTGTCAGGAGAGCTCCTTCAGAATTTGCCTTATTGCTCTGCTTTAATAAAATGAGTTGAATTTGTAAGGCCATGATATTAAATAACAAAAATACTTTTCTTTCTGGATTTTCCACATATTTATGCCAGCTTAAAAATCAGCTAATAAAGCTTTAGTTTTTTCCAGATACATTTAATAGTTTTCTATGCTAGGCGTTACTTAGCAAGAAGAGCTAATTAGCCCGTAAAAAGTTTAAAAACTACCTACTTTACTCTTTTTTAAATACCCCAAGTCTGAGTAACGATCTTGGAGTATATTGGAGAAATATAGGAGATTAACATTTTTAATTAAAGAACAAGAATCAACTAACGAAGCTTGAGGTAAGACAGACCGCATTACATTCACATTCGCATTCACATTCCCATTGCCGATGGCCAAGGCCAGCAGCCGCCACAAATGTAATGCGTTTCTTTTATGGGCTTTGTCATAGAAGTCCAGCGAACAGTTGGCAACATAATTTATGCAACACAGACCGCCTTCCAGCGCGGAATTTATGGTCTTGACCAGAGGAGAGCATCCATTGGACCAATGGTCTCCTCGTCGAGGTGATAATGTAAGGGAAAACACACGATTGCGGCTCGGATGTGCTGCAGGCAGGCCATAACTATAAGAACAGATCCAAAGACCAAAGACGAAAGACCAAAGACGAAAGACCAAGGCAAATAAATTGCAGCTGCTCGACCGGGGCGATGAAATACAAATAGAAATACTTGGCAGCTACTGGACGCTGGATGAAGTTGCCACAGAGTTGGCCAACTGGCAGGGAATCAGGGTATCGGGGTATCGGGGTATCGGGGTATCGGGTTGTTGGAACACCAAGGGGAGGGCAGACTGTCTGTCAGTCGCAGTCACTTCACATGTCCTTTGGCTTGTTTGTCTTACACTCTGACGCTCCGTGGATCGCAGCAGCCAAGCGAAGTAAAGTTGTTTGGCCAGACGAGACTTGGCCAAATGTCGGGCCAACGCAGCCGAGCACGAATCATGACCATTTGGGCATCAAAATTACCTTTCCTTGGCCAGATGTACACTGGTGAAAAAATAGGTTGAATTTATTAGAACTACAATATTTGAAAGTAGTGGAATAAATGTTATTTAAAATGGAAATATGCTAAATGGTTATAAAAATGATTTTTATCTCTTTTGATGCTTAAAGTGTTACGAAATTCCATTTAAATATACCTACTCTTTAAATATTATTTTTTATGGTAGGTGTATTAATAGGAGTTATTTAAAAGATGGTTTATTTGTTTTGTTAATAACTTCTCTGAATGTACCCACTTTCGAGACCGCTCTTGACCTTTCATGAGCTTGAGTCTTGGTTTCCCGACTCGGCACTCGACTCTCCTCCGATTTAATCAGCCTCGCCGACTAACGTATAATTTTGTGAATTGCAAGTTGCATGAGATAGGGACAATGGGCATGTAGTTCCCAGGCTCAATGATGTTCTCGTTTTCAAAGGAGGCCAGCAAATTGAATCTGCTTGGGTTATGATGGGCTCGCCGCTGGCTTAGATGAATTCCCAGCTCTCTGGCCTCGTATGCAGATTGAAATGGCAGAGCCCATTAGAAGTCGGCACAAGCCTTTTCCCCCTTTTCCCCCGAAAAAAAGCCCGCGGTAATGACCCTAAATCAGCATCAGCTTCTAGGCCAATGCCCAAACGAATGTCATCATCGGGCGCGGGCCTTCTTTCCTAACAGATATAACCCCAACCCAAGCGAAAATCGTAATAAAAATGTCGTCTGACTTTCGATGGGGGTGTCTCCGTCTGGGGTTCTCGCTTTTGGGTCCCTCCGTCTGGGTTTAATGCACAACATATTCATGTGTCAAAAGACAATTTCGGATTTATGGCCTGCGAAATCCACGACCCCTCCGCCGAGAATCCAACGAATGACGCAATGTGGGCGAACAACCAACAGCCAAACAGCCAACAACCAACAACGACAAAAAATATGTTAAGAAAGCATAAAATGATATCCAAACTACCCACTATGATCTGGTCTGGGTTTCGGTCTGGTCTGGTCTGGTCCGTTTGGAAATCTCGCTCGTGTCTGGCTTGGGTTTGCATAAATTAGGATCTGGACGGGTTGCTGAAAGGAAAAGGAAGTTTGGAGCCGGGGAGAATAGTCAGTTGGTAGCGCAAAAAATGGCTATTTCTTTTTTTTTTTTACACACTCCCTCTGTGTGTGAAAGAGTTTTCCCTTTTGGTTGATGCGTTTGCTATGGCATTTTTAGGGTTGTAATTGAAATTAAATAGATGTCGTGCCATGAATTCAAATCGCCGGCAAAATGCGGGTCTTAAAGGTTTAAAGCTAGTCAGAATGTTTGGGGTTTCTTCAGCTGAAATGAAGATAAATTTGTCGTCCAAAAAATTAAATTCTTGTCTAGATCTGGAGTAATCTCTGAGCTAGATAGTAAAAACTAGTTCAAAGCGAAAGCTGTTAGCTGAAATGCATTCATCCTTTATCTAGCAGAAATGGCTGTACTTAAACTGAACTCTTTTCCTCCTTTTTTCATTCTTTTATCAACACCCAGTGGGAAAAGCAATTGCTTTTCCTCCCCTTCAGACATATTTCCTGCACTTGGGTAACTATTTTCGCACAGCTTGAACAACTTTTACTTTTCTCCGAGCGCTGAATTTATGTGTCACTGGCACTTGAAGTGGAAGTTTTTGGGCGCCGTCTCTCCGGGTTTTCCTCCCCCCACATCGCCCTCCCTCCGCCGCCTTGATTGATGTTGGCCAAATCGATTTTCCTCCATGGCACCTGGCGCCCCAGCCTTCCAGCATCCGCACATTTCCAGCATCGACTTCATTTGTTGGGCAATCAGCTCTAATTAGCACCAGACCAAGTTAAAATGCAAAACGCGTCGCGAGGGAAGTTTGAGGGATTGTGGGTGATGGGTTGCTCAAAGTAATTTGCTATTACTTGTCTATAATTGTGTTAGAAGCGGGGGAAAGGGGGCCGTTCGGAAAGTTTTACATCTGCGGAATTTTAATTGTAATTGTTTTCAAAGTTAAATGCTAGAATGAGTGACTGCGGAAAGCGAAAAGAGGAAAAAGAGCCGATTCCTCTAGAGACTTAAGTGTTCTTAAATAATTGGTTAAATGAAGCTTGCAATATTAAAGGGTACTTATTGTATTTCCAAAACTTTCTGTATTAAATGTTACTTATTCTGTAGTTATTTCCATGTAAATGACGCATAAACGAAACGATTTAAAACTGCAGAGCTCAGCTTTCTGGCTGTTATCGCCACATTTATTTCTGTTATTTCTGTTTTCATATCCATTTCTTTTTCTGTTTAATGAGCTGCACCTCACATGTCGCAGGCCCATTAACCCTTTGACCCCCGCACCGCATTTATCGCAAGCTCTCTATCTGGCTTAGCTCGGTTCATTATGCGACAGTTTCCCATATCTACTACTCATAGCTACCCATAGCTACCCTTAGACCTCGAAGTCTCCACCTCGAAACCACTCGGTAGGGCTTACTAATTACATTTTCAAAGTGCAAACGAAGCGTGCGAGCGGCGAGGGGGGTTTGTCTGGGGGTTTGCCCCACTAATTAGTACGATATATATGTGTTTATAATGCGGACCGCTTTATGCGCTCCTCTGGTTCCCGGTGGCATGAATAGACCGAGGAATAAGTGGCATAAATTAAAATAAAATGTACAAGTATGAAATGTAACTGCGGCCGGGGGACGGCTGTGCGATAAAAATCTAAAATAAACACGCTGCAGCAGCAACATGCAACGCACACAGCAGCAACACCAACAGCAACAGCAGCAGCAACAGCAACAGCAACAGGAACAGAAACAGCAGCAACATCAGCATTAATTAAGCATGAACATTTAACCTGCCCACTCGGCCACGCCCCTTTATTCCACTTCGAGAAGGGAGTCGCGTGTCTTGGCCAAGGGTCTCCATTCGGTTCTTTTTTATAATTTGATTGATTTATTGTGTATCCCATGGAGGCGCCTCGCAGATGCAATATAAAATGGCTATCCCCTTCCCAAAGCACACGGCTAATTTAATTAAAAATGCATTGTTGCTCAGGTAACAGTTGCATTTTAAACACACTGCCTGTCAAAACTATCAGATCAATTTAAAGATAAGGTTAAGCAGAGGGGTGAAATGAGGGAAAACCATGAACAGGTGCCAGCAGGTGTGATGTGGGTGCCTCAAATAGGCTTCGTTTAAAATGGAAAAAGAGGGAATTCTCCTACAGAACGAATGCCTTGAACATCTTCCATCATTCCATCATTGTTAGCCAACTTATTTGTTGATTGTCTGCAATAAAAATGGTCGAAGGCGGTCGGAAAAAAGAAATTGACAATCACTTTAGGAGCGCGCAGCATGCCATTTAACTCCTTCAATATGTCACTAAAGTGTCTCAGCGGACAGATATTTCCCGAGTTCCGATCCGGCTCCGAGAAAATCAATTTTCCACGCCCCCAAACGAGCAGAAGAAAACTGTTATCCCTTGTGATTGATTATGCAGTCGGGTCGAGTGACTGAGCGAAAAGTTTTTCTTCAATTCACTTGGCCCACAGATATATCATTAATTTCGCCTCGGCAGAATGGGATTATCATTGGCATGGGGGCTTAGGTGATGTGCAACAAGCAATGCACCTGGAAAAATATTGCAAAAGGTTGCTCAAAATGCAAGAGAAATAAAGTGAAGAAACACCCTTTAATAAAATATATTAATATGTATATAACATTTACTTCCTGTAAAGTCATATCACTATCTGAAAATTCTAAACTACTACTCCACTCCCTTTCAAATAACGATTCCTTAATATCTACATAAATAACTTCAAAAATATTATTAAAATATTAAAATTGCAATTCTTCTACTTTTTTTGGAGTGTACTAAATATGTTTACCCTTTTTTTCCATCCATTTGCAGGAGTCTCGGCGGAACTCTACTACGTGCGAGAGGGCGCCATTAACGACTACGCCTTGAATTTTGCTGTGCCCGTGCCGGCGAACATTAGCGACGTGACCTTCACGTGGCAGTCGCTGGTGGAGCACCCACTTCCGTACAGCATCAATATAGCCACCTCGGACACGGAGGTGTTGCCCCGCCCCCAACTGAATATATCCCGGATCGGGGATGTGCCAACGGAGCCACAAACCTGGGGCATTGCCCTCAAGTGCTCGGGCACCCGGAATGCCGAGGTCACAGTGACCATCAATGTGGAGGTGATCCTGGATCGGGCGACCAACAACAACACCAACCTGATCTTCAAGCGGAAAAAGATCTGTTTGCGGGAGGAACAGGATAGTGCTCACGAGGAGTACGATGATGATGATGTGGACTTGATGCAAACGGCGCGTGGAGGGCATGGCAGTGATATTCACTATGTGGATAGGAATGAGGAGCATGTGGTGGCCAATGGTCATCTGTCACCGGAGAAGGAGAAGCAACGCCCCATTGTGACTGAGTCACCGGGAAATGTGGGTCGTGGAAATTCGGGAGGATCCAAGCGGGACTTTGATCCCATGTTGAGGGAGAATCTTGTGCCACCAGCAAGTGGACTGGTTACCCTCATTGTGGGTGGCATCCTCGCCTTGGTTTTGGTTTCCACCCTCATCCTGATTGCCTATTGTGCCAAGGGTCCTTCAAAGCGACATCCCTCGAATGGAGTGCATCTGATCAAGACCTCCAGCTTCCAGAGATTGCCGACCATCTCGTCGACGGCCCACAATTCGATTTATGTCTGCCCATCGACCATAACACCCACATACGCCACGTTGACGCGGCCCTTTCGCGAATATGAGCATGAGCCTGAGGAGTTCAACCGCCGTCTCCAGGAGCTGACAGTCCAGAAGTGCCGCGTCCGGCTCTCCTGTCTCGTCCAGGAGGGCAACTTTGGGCGAATCTATCGCGGCACTTACAACGACTGCCAGGAGGTACTGGTCAAGACAGTGGCCCAGCACGCCAGCCAGCTGCAAGTGAACCTCCTGCTCCAGGAATCGATGATGTTGTACGAGGCCTCCCATCCGAATGTCCTCTCCGTGCTGGGCATCTCCATCGAGGACTACGCCACGCCCTTCGTCCTGTACGCCGCCAACGGCAGTGTCCGCAATCTGAAGAGCTTCCTGCAGGATCCGTCGTACGCCAGGAGTGTCACCACCATCCAGACGGTCCTCATGGGCTCCCAGCTGGCCATGGCCATGGAGCACCTGCACAACCACGGCGTCATCCACAAGGACATCGCGGCCAGGAACTGTGTGTAAGTATTTCACTGGGATGGGGTTTTATAAGTAATTGATAAGGGTCTTTTAATAAAATATTTAGGTATATTGAATTATCTTTACTTAAACACAAATTATAACTTGTAAATTTGTTTCAATGGAATATTACATAGAATAAATGGTTATTAAACAATCTGTAACAATGTAAATGAATTAAAAAATGTAATTTTTTACCTTCAGGATTGACGATCAGCTGCGTGTGAAGCTCACAGATAGTGCCCTAAGTCGCGATCTCTTCCCGGGAGACTACAATTCTCTGGGCGATGGTGAATATAGACCAGTTAAGTGGCTTTCATTGGAGGCCTTGCAAAAGTCTCATTACAACGAGGGCAGTGATGTTTGGTCCTTTGGTGTCCTTATGTGGGAAATGTGCACTTTGGGGAAACTCCCTTACGCCGAAATCGATCCTTATGAAATGGAACATTATCTCAAGGATGGCTACCGATTGGCTCAGCCTTTCAATTGCCCCGATGAGCTGTAAGTACATTTTATATTCCATATTATAATCCTAATCTCATAAGAATAGATCTGAAATATGTAGATAGCTTACACCACTTTTACTTTTTTCTTGTTTTCTTATTAGTAATCTATTCCTAATGTAATCCTTTCTCTCTTTCAGGTTTACCATTATGGCCTATTGTTGGGCCTCGATGCCGAGCGAGCGGCCCTCATTCAGCCAGCTGCAGATCTGTCTATCGGAGTTCCATACACAGATAACCAGATATGTTTAACCAGCGGTGCTGAAGCATGCCAAGACCTGTAAATACAATAAGAGGCGACGTCGCAAGATTTTCCAGCAGACCACGTCGTCCACTCTGTTCCCAAAGACATATTAAATCGTAGCGCCGAGTTAATGGGGCTTGAAAGCCGATCCCCAGACTTTCGAGAAAACATGAATTACATAGAGAGAGCCCAGAAGAAGTCTCTGCAAATAACTCCTAGTTATATGATTAGTCGGTAAGGACATGTGACATTTCAATGCAAGAATTAGGGTTACAAAACAAAGCATAAACACTTATTGAAATCGCCTGTTAAGACACACAAACGTTCTACCAGTAAAAAAAGAAAACTTAAATTAAAAGAAATAGCAAATATTGATAACGTAATCATAGCTAAAGCAGATCCAGTAAAATCAGAGTCCCACAAAAAACCAGTGCTAGGATAGGAACCCAAAAAAAAACAAAATGTCGTAGTTTCAAAGAGAGCGTTGCAAGTTTGTCATTATAATGGGATAGCAGTACGATACCGAAACATATATCTATGTAAATGTATTCACATGTGTGTTTATGTCTAAGCAAACGTAGTGCTAGTAAGAACTCGAAATATTTATCTAATGTTAGTGCACAAGCGACCCGAAATCCTTGAGCCCTAAGTTACAGCCCCTTACAGTCTCGAGATGTAAGTTTTTGTGTAATATACTTAAGCAGTTTGCATTAGTTCTTAAGTTACTCTTATGGTTTTCTATGGCGAAGACACAAAAGGAAAAACGATTTCAATAAACGTCCGTGCATAATATTTAAAAACAAAAACTAAATGCTTGCGTTGTGGTTTTTTTCTCGAGAGGCCAAAAGGGGAAATGGAACAAGCGACGTTTTATGGAGACGCCACGTAAGTAAGGCATTCTCATTGAAACCGACGACCACGCCCGTCACTTAGCCTAAAACAACGCACTCTAAGAGCAATGTGTTGTTTGGTTACCACACACCCCACACACCCCACACCCCCACCCCACCTCCGCAACCCTCTAACCGAACAAAACCCCAACCGAAACCCAGACCCAAGTGAACCTAACCAAAGCCAACGCAGCCGAACCAATCTCTTTGCAACACAAAAGGCATGTAATGCCAACTGCCTATTTGGAAGCAGGCGATGACTCCTACCTTCGAGTACAGGGATGCCTCGGTAATAAAAACATCTATAACTTTTATTACTCTTGCAAACAGAAGCGGTTTATTTTCTATAATTATCACAATTAACAAGATTCTTGCTCTAATATCATTAAAATAATTATACAAAAGCTTAGGTCAATGCATTCATATTCTTATTTATTTCTAGAGATGGTATAAACTTATATTTAATTTTATGGGTATACAGTATATTAAGTTTTTTAATTAATTAATTCAATAACATCTTTCTTAATGGATGCTTACTGTACCTACATAATGTCCTTCCCAGCACACCTGCACGTGAATTTCAGCAGGACCAGGAGGGGATGGACCAGCGGGTCATGGCATGCCTTCTGATTGCCATGCTGACACTACTTAGTTTTTGGCACGTCATGCTGGGGACATGATGTTGGCAGGGTCCTTTTTAATATGCCCGTCACACCGTCAACGAGGGAAGACTAGTTTTTGTCCGCCTCCGGAGCGCCCACTCGCCAGGATCCTGTAAAAACTGTGCGAGAGGACTGCTCCTCCTATGGCACGTGCCCGCAGCTGAGGCATTTAGCAGGAGCCACCACGCAAATCGAAAGCTAATAAGGACTAGGGGACGAAAGTGGCTTATACAGAGTCCCAAATCTTCAGCTTTATGCATAAATTCAGTTTAATTTAAAATGAGACGGTAGTAGGGCTAATAAATTATGAAATGACTGTATCTCTTTACAAACAGCAACCTGAGTAATAAGGTTTTTAAGTAACTAGCTCGGTTATATAATAAAAAAACTCTACAAGTAAGCAGTAATATAAAAATATAATATTACAAAAGAACCTCTGACCCTAATATGCATTACAAAAAAATGCAACAAAAAACTTTTCAGCAACTGCAAAGTTCTAAAGCAAAGTTCAAAACTTCAAAGTGATATCGATGAAAGAGCAGCGAAGTCGTGACTCCAGTGACACCGATGAAAAGTGCATCCCTTTGACTTTTGAACAAATTGCCAACTGTCAGTTAATATCCATAAAAATCGCCTTGCGGTCGACAAAGATTTATAGAGTCAAAGGAAGCCAATCAAAGGGCTCAAAAACCCGGTGAACTCGAACTAGTTGCGTTTCAATCAAATAAAACTGCAGACCGCCGGGGGCGTACAAAGGATATTAAGTTATTAAAAACACAAAATGGTAAGGCAGCCTGCACAAATAAATGGAAGCCAATGGAAGCCACGGTGGTACGCACCAAAAACCAAAACCGAAACGTCAAAGAGGTCGCATTTGAAACCAAAGCCCAGAAATGGAAGGAAAAAGGAAACCATCGCAAAAGTGAGTGCTGGGAAAAAAAAACTTGAAATTGAAAAACAAAAGCCAACTGGAACTTTGTTTTCGGTCAACACTCTAAGCCAAAAATCAACAAATATAAAAAATTTCGTGGCACGTGAGGCAGCATTTCAATTTTTTAGCGCTGAAACTTTTGCCCACAGTTTGGGGGGAGGGGGTGGTAACCCCTAGCCAACTCCCCACCACCCCCAACAATCCCATAAAACACCAGCAACCGGTGAGCGGAAAATGTGGAAAAGCGGGAAAACAAGAGTGAGTGAGAGTGGGGCGACATTTTGGTCGTCACTCAGTGAGAGTGGAGTCCTTTGGGTGCCATTTGGGAAGCCATCGGCTACGCCCGCGTGCCCCATTCTGGATCCCCTACCTCCTATCCCCTCCCCCTACCCCCTCCCCCTACCCCTCCCCCCTCTTGCACCACCTTTCTCCGCAGCCTGAGGCAGCCTGACGTCTGAACTTTTCGCCGGTTGACCTGGTGTGGGTTGATGAGTAGCCGCCAGTGCTGACAACTTTTGCTGGCCAGCGAAAAACAGGCAACTAAACCAGGCTAACAAGTTATCTTAACTTTTTCGGTGCTTAAAAAAGCAGTAAGGTGTTTTGTATAAATATTATAATTTTTGGGGAATATTTAAGGAAAAAATATATACATACATATGTATGTTGCATAAAATTATGAGGACTTATTTTTATAATTTCAAAAGAAAACTTTTTTTTATAGTTTGATAAATTTCCTTGAGTTAAGTATTTCAATTTAACTACTATTTTTCAATAAATGAATATATAGAAAATTGTTATTTGTTAATTATTATTTGTTAAAAAATACACCAACTATTCCAATAAAAATCCAGAATTGGCGACTCTGATCTCCGGAGGGTGTAGGCATCAGTTCTGCTGGTGGCTTCGCCAACTGCAACCCAACTTTTGCCTGTCCTCAAAAAATTGATTACTTTGTCGAGAGCGCAACGCGGTCCAGTTTGGTTCAGTGCGGTTCGGTTGGCATTTTGAAGCTGTTGATTATGGCCACGGGGCATTAGCTGAAAAATAAATATTTACCTTTGAAATTATAAGGCAAAGTTTGCCAGCTTCTGGTTTGAATCCTATGATTGTTGCATCAGCTCGGCGAGCTTCAAAAAGTTTTTTTTTTGATTGCAAAACTAATTAAAAAGTTGATGAAGTTCGTCGCTGGGAATTACTTTTAAAGATTTAATTCGTTCGTTGTGAATGTAGAAGTGTTTGAATGAAAACACTTTTTCAAAGGGTTAGAGTTAATTTCTTCTAAGGTTGTCATTGACAACAAGTGGAGGCAAGCAACTGGGGTAACTAAACTAATCTTTGATTGGTTTGGTAATTGAGTTAGCAGAGAAAAGTGTTTACTATTAAGGACAAAAATAAAAGGACATATAATTTTTTAACAGACTGAATCATACAATTTCTGAACTATTATATTAAAGTAATTTTTCTCCTTTTTTCTTAGTTTTAGGTTATTAGTTCTAAATGTTAATTTTGTTGTTATTGAAACCATTTTTATGCAGCTTGGTGACTTGGACCACCATCTTCCCTCTATGGGTTACAAAATATTCATAGACAGTTCCTAAGATTTAAGGGCAAAGCTGCTTAAGCCACTTTCTCCACTCGACCCTAACCGATTTTCCCGCCCGCTGTGAAACTGCCAAATGCAAAAATTGTTTTTCAATTTCTTTTCTTTTCCTTTATTTTTCAATACACGCAGCGGAAAGAACCTGAAGGAAAGGAGAGCGAACAGAACAGAGAACAACATTAGCATACAACTTTTCTTATTATTTTTTATGTGAAAAATTCTCCAAATTGCCGCCGTCTCTGCGAAACGGGAAATGGGAAAGGAGTTTCAGGATAAGGAGCGAGTGGGTGGTGGGATAAGGATAAAGGGAAGTGGGAGGGGCAGCAACAAAACTGCAAACGGCCAAGGAAGCGGAAACGGAAAGCATACAACGCCAGACAAACGCCAAAGGAAAATTTCGTTTGTTCGGCGGTGAAACGAAGGACTGTATCTCAGTCCCCCTGAATTTTGCATCTCTATCTGGGGCTCTACTCCTATCTGTCTTTGTATCTGTATTTCTGTATCTCGAGCTGTGTCGATGAGTCAAAGCCAATGGTTGAAAAGTGAAAACCATCGCGCGTTGGCTTAAAATACATAATAATGACATGGAAGGAAATGATTTTCATTTGCCAGCCATCGCTTGATTGAAGTTACGGTTGCCCAACTTCAGCTACACTGAAAATAGAAATGACATACCCAAACAAAAATACATTCAAGTACATTTAATAAATAAATATTTATTATTAATAAATAAATAATAAATATTTTGGTAATCAAACTTGTAGATGCGTTTAAATTATTTAAAAGTTTTTATAATGTTCCATAAAAGCCTAAATAATATTAATTAAAATAGAAAGAATTGGCTGCATATTACTTAGTATTTAGAGTATTTTTTAAGTATTTTGATTTCCCAAAGCTCATTTTTTCTCAGTGTAGAAGTCTAGCTCCAGCACCCGCTTCATTTGTCGCAAAGTTTTATTGAATTACTCGGGCGTGCCTCCAGTCGCAGACTGTCTATCGTTTTGGAGTGGTTACGGCTTTTTCGCCGAACCGAACCGAACTGTGTAGGAAGTTCGTCTTCCTTTTGATTATAACGCCTTTTGAAAATTCATTAAAAACTTTTTTTCCCCACTTTTTTGTCGACGTTGTCAATCGATTTGCCTTCCTGCCTCCCTTTTTTTTGTCTCTGGGCGAAAAGGGGCGACACCACCTGCACTCATTTATCATTTTGCACCGCCACTTTTCGTCGCTTGGCGCCTTTGACTTTGCCTTTGACTTTCTGCCAATTGTCATTATTCATCGCAAACTGTTTGCGAGCAGCCTCCACCACCTCCATTTTCACTTGGCGCGGTCTGTGAGCTTCCCTTCGGCAAGTTGGCCGAAAATTTCCCACATATGCCGGACACGGTGTGATTAATTGTCGCAAGTATGGCAGGCTGCCTATGGACGGTTTGCTGGTTCCTGCGAGTATTAAGTGTCCTGTGTGCCGGGTTATTTCTCGTTATTTGTGTTGACGCTAAATTCTGCAGTCAGGGCTCATAAAACACTCGCCGAACTTGCCATTTTGGATTGGTTGGGTGCGGGGAATTGGGATCGATTGTCTGTACTTTAAGCGGGCATTGACAAGTTTCACTCTCGTGATTTATAAACCTGGCTAATCAAGTGCTGTCGAACTTGTGTTATTCGGATTGCTGTATGTGTCAAATAGATAAATGAGTTGTTTTTATTGGTTTTGTAGCAGTATTTGTA